ATCCTTTTCTTCTTCTGTTCATGACTGTTAGACCTGTTAATTTACCACTCGCTGGTCCAGGCTGTCAGTGTCACCGCCCGAGCTTAGCCGGCCACAGATATTTTGCCGTTGTCACTCCCACACCACGAAGAGGTGCCTGGGTCGGAATTTTGTGGGAGCGAGCTCATCAAGATGCTGCAGAAACAGGTACATTTTAAGCGACTATGAGCAAAGTCTTGGAGGAGTCATTCATTGTTTGACGTACTCGAGCGTACGAACAGCTCATGAAGTTTATGCTTATGTATCAATATAAGGAGTACCAGCTTCTGAAACATTGTGATGAGCGCGAGGTAGCTCTAACAAAGAAGACTGTGCGAGATGCCTCTGACACTCCAGGCCTTTAAATACCATAGATCCGTGGCCTGCCTAGGTACGCGGTGAAATATTGTCTTGGAGGAATCAGTCATTCGTTATGTCACATACTCAGGTGTTCGTATAACCTATGACGTTATTCATACTTGCATATTACGTCGGGCAGAGAATGCTGTGTCCCGGACACTTCATTTTCTGTCTGCTTCAATAGTGCTTCAGCAGCTTAGGGTGCACACCGAGTGGCTTTTATCGAGAATTGAAAGAGCTCGGTTTTGGTCACGATAATTTTCATCGCGCTTTCATGACATGTAACAGCCGAACGATAATGTATATACTCGAGCAGGCGGTCGTCATCGGCGGAAGCGAACAGGAAGAGATCTCTACAAACGGCAGGTGACTCAGCCGAATAACTGCGTGTTGCTAAGATGCACACTTTGGCAGAGACCAGTACTTTGAGTCACTGATAGCATCAACCTCTTCTCCTTATTCAAGCGTATGTCCTCATTATTTGATGTTGCTGATGCTCACAGGCTATATTCTGTTTCTTAGGTCCTAGATTCGTTAAGCAAATAAATTGTTGCTGTTTAATCGTTAAAGCAGGCGATAGAATGGAACAACGAAGTGGATCAAGGGCTATCAAGCAGCATGTTTACCTGCAACCTGTCGTCAGTTTTTCGATGGGTTGAGTAAGCCATCTCCATACACATCGATCATCAAAAGTGTGTTCGTGTTCGAAGCGCGTAAATGTAGAGCGCTTCAACATAGCGAGACGATACGGCGAAATTTATTGGCCTCTTACTTTGAAATGACTGCATGGCATTGGCATTAGAACAATTCCTTGGGTCCGTATAGCTGTTCAGGTACCATGGAGCTAAACATTAATCCCGTCGGCAAGCCTGGCAATGGATCAAGACAGATATTGCGTTAATACATCACATAGCCAATGGTCAAGATCATTTTTCATATTCTAGCGGAAATAGAAGACTGATTACCTGTATTACAAAAAATATGGTGACACGGTAGTAGGTTAGGCCTGCTATGGGGCACAATGCCTAATAGATCGAGGGCAATCTTTGTCTTAACCACGAAATTCCTTGAGCGTCGAAATGACCAAATATCGCTTCATATCGGTAGAACGTTGGACTTATAAACAAGAGGTCCTGAGTTCGTGCCTGTCAAGATAACTCACCATTATTCCTTTTGACTCTGACAAATGAGTACAGCTCTGTAGGAAGGAAACAGGACACTACATACTATAATTGATTGTCACATAGCTGCCGTTGACTCTGCCTTAAAAGTAAAGCACTCCAGGCTAATGTCACGGAAATGAAGATCAGCACCTGCCATTAGGCTAATGAGAAAAAGGGTGTAAGGTATGCTCCATGATGAAGGTGTAAAGAAGTCCCACATTCCACGGTTACAACCTTGCCTTTCTCCTTTACATCTCATGCTTTATCTTGAACATTTAATCAATTTCTTAGCTTCAAGTATTTTCGTATTCGATCAAAACAGCATATCATTGAAACTTCATTTAATAAAAAAGTACAATTATGAACAAAGTCTGCAATGCAAATGTTTCCTTGCAGGCCGATCGGGTCTGACTGCGGGATTGCTAACTTAAACACGTCGACGAGCGGAGCCGAAATTGGCGGAGCTTTCGGTGAGCGAGTACAGAAGGTGGTTTAATGGCTGAAAATGGCCAACGAAACGTGACTTTAGGCAGCGAGAAGCACACGGGCGGCGGACGGGAGTGCGGAAGCGACAGCTGGAAGCAGTACATGCGGCGACCGACGTGGTAAAAGAGGCTGATTCTTTTATAGCTGCGTTTGATTCACAGTCTGTCTCATCGCCTTTCGTTCGCTGCAGTACGATCAACTTTGGACGTGACACATCACTGGCACAGCGGATACATTTTGCATGAGGTCTGGCCATCAACAACAACCGCCCGCCTCTGACAAAGAAGTGAAGCATAGCAATTTGTTTTTCAACGTCGTTTTTATATGTTTTGTGCCTTCAAGGAATGCTGATATCGAATCAAACGCTGAAGCATCCAATATTAATTCATTAATATAAAGTTTAGAAAAAAATTGTTTTACCGTTAGTCTTCAACAATGATGTCAGCTCTCTGATGGCAAAGTACTCCGTAAACTCGCTTATCTCGTCACCGGTGTCCCGATCACCGAAATGTTTCACCGCATCCTTCATGCGTACCCCTGAAATAAACTCATTGCGATAAAGCATAAGTACAGAAAACGCAGTCATCTGAGCGAAGAGCAGTCTACAAACTTGGCATTATAGTTTGATGCCGATTTATACGCACGCATCGAATTCGGTGTGAAGTTTTTCCCTCGGAACAGATCTGAGCGAATGAACTGTCAAATTCCAAATATAAACAGCAGGCGACGTTCCAGTAGACTTATGACATTCGACATGAGAAGAAAAATAATATCCGGATAAAACAACCACAAACGGGTGCAATCGGAACCATCGGTTACAGCAGAAATAAACGACAGTTCGGGAGTGGCAATATGAGGTCAATTTACAGACAACTTTGTGTGTATTTAAATTTATTCTCTAACGATCATACATCTGCCTGCAAGGGGGAGGGGGCACAGACCGTCTGTAACACAGCGTACAAACTCATTAACATAGACAGCCGAAAATGACAAGCTTGCAATTTATCGTGAACTGTAGCGCAACGACAAATGGACGCAAATGAAAAGGTTTCAAAATATGAAATAAATTTTTATACGTACTAGTATACTTAAGTCTTCAGAATCAGGATTAAACGCATGCGTAATTTCGACTTTTTACGTAATGAGGCTAAACAATGTAAATATGTTCAAAACTCCACGTAATGTGCGAATTTATGTTTAGATTTAGATATTGCAGTAAACGTGGAAATTTTTAATGCACAGTAGATCCTCAATTCAACGGGTCCCGACCTAACGGGCAATTTTCCTTTTTCTTTCTTACTTCTGGTACTGGGACACTTCCTCGTTATTCTCTAATTGCAAAGTAGTACTACTTATGTATCAACTTAGCGAATTCTGGAACAAAGTCGAATTTACTTCGATTCAGACTTATATCATCGCTGAAAAATAAAATTGTATATATAAGCGGCTGAAATGCTTATGACCCTTTGTTTGTAACACCTGTACAAAGTTAGAGACTATTCCAATAGCTTAAAATGACAGAGGCTTTACAGAGTCAGTCCACTGCAATAAAATCACCGCCATCCATTAAAGTTAGCCCTTTTCCAGAAAAGCTTTTACAAGTCAAGTTTGAGATACAATTATCAAAAACCATCATTGCAAAATAAAGTCTCTCCTGGAGAAAGTACTGGGGAGTGGTAAAGCGTCTTTGACCGAAAAATTCATTTGTTGGAAAATTAACATTTCTTCATTTTGACATACCTCTTAAAATTTGTATGAATACTTTGGATACAGAAATTTTATATAACGTACGTACACGACAGAAAAAAACAGATTCATGACGCTATACAAAGTCAATCGCAGAAGCCTTACAGAGCATCGCAATTTAAGTCAGAATTAATTTGCAAATTTGATTAGTGATAAGTGCAAACTAAATAAAGCTGAAACTCAAATATTTTTATTATTGAACAAGTAAAATCGAAACAGTCACACAACAATAGTAAATATGAGTGTTTAGCCTGCTCCACACTGAAAACATTTTTTTGGAAATTTATATACGATAATGAAAAAAAGTACCTTACTGAAACATTAAAATCTATATACTTTTGTAAAGAAAGTGACGAATGAAACAAAATCTTGCTACGAATGAAGTATATATATGCAATAAGTAATAATTGCAACGTGTACGACAAATTTATTGTTATGCATGTAAAAAAGTTCGAACAGTACTTCAAAACATAATTTGCTATTTAACGGATCCCTTCCCCCAAATAATATGTTAAATTGAGGATATACTGTATTTGAATTATGCAGATTCATTACGCAAATAATCTGTACATACGTGGTAACTACACGTGTAAATAGAATTGTATATATAATATTTATTTCCAAAACTTCAAAGCATATTCACTAACGTGAATTTGTCGGTGCGGACTCTTGGCAGTATACCGTTTCGAGTGTCTCTGGTACAAATAGAACTAAGCGTACGATCACACTGCTAACTATATGGTCAGTGCAATCTGTGCATCTGAACAGACTCTGACTACACATTGTCTTAATTAGCCCGTAAAGATATCAAGAATCTTTGCACAACAGACTCGGATAGAAACTGTGTGTAGCGTATAACAACGGCTACAAGCATACAATCGAAAAACCGTCCGCGGAACGTCCCTCGGTTAGTGAAAAAAATCCTGGAAACTGCAACTCTGGTAACTCGAAGGAATCAGAGGTCTGCGAAAATCAGTCGATCAATGGATATACAGTACCGTATACTTTATGAACAAACATCCTTCATTAAGATTCACTAAACATTCAAAATCTACTTGTTGTCAAAATCCTCGTGATGAGCATATTCAGTGAATCTAGAATTTCTTCACT